CCCCCCCCCCCCCCCCCCCCCCCCCCCCCCCCCCCCCCCCCCCCCCCGCCGCGGCCCCCCCCCCCGGGGCGGTAGTATGAGAGTGAGTTACAGGCAGCATTGCACTACTTCTTAGGTGAATAGAGTATGAAACTATGAACGTCATACTATGATACTGTGAAACTATGAAAGTATGAAAGTCATAGTTTTACTGTGATACTATGAAACTATGAGAGTCGTGCTATGATACGGTGACAGTAGGAAAACGTGAAAGTGTATTTGTGTGGTATTGGTATAATAAGTCGATACTATGAATTCATGTTTATACTATAGAGTTCCACTGTATCAATTGACTGACGTCTAGGTTTTGCTGACTTTTTATTCTGCAAACACTTTCGTAATATACGTCCTAGAATCTTTTTAAGTGAGATTTCTTATTTATATTCAATAACTATAATTATCCCAGATGAGTAAAAATAAATTTTATTTTCACACAAGAGAAAGGAGAATGCTAAGTTTTGTGTTTGTTCTCAACTTTCTCTAGAAAAACTATACGTGATAAATTTGTGTTTCTCGCCCTTAACTGATATAACTACAATTTTACCACTTCTAAATATACATATAAGATGCAAATAATGTAAATAGGACTAATCAAAGAAAAACATCAAAAAATGCGTTAACTTGCTTATTATCTTTTTGATTGATAGTTTAGTTATAGCAATATGTACAGCTAGCTATAGAGAAAGAAAGCTAAACAGCGAAAATCTAAGAATCTAAAAGTAAAATTATCATATAGTTAAAGTTGCCACTGAAGAAGTACGCCAGGTTGACTTATGCCATTTTCAGATGTCATAGAAAATCTTTCTAGAGTAATCCACCTTTTCCACTGAGGACAACTGGATCAAAAAAATGTATTATACACGTATAGAATCTTTCTTGAGCTGATATTGTTCGATATTTTTAATAATAGATGAAGTTCCACAAAAAAGACAGAGTACTATAATAGAATGATTATGAATCATTTCTATACAAAATACTATCAAACATATTCAAGTGCCTTAGCAACATCTGGATGTTACAGTAAAGTAACAAGAATGCACCAATTCAAATAACACATCTCTATTGCCTCACTTTGAGTTATTCAAGTTTTTATTATTAACAACGAAATGACATGCGTTATTTGTTAGATGCATTACAAATACAAAATAGTGTGTTTTTTTTTCACGTCTTAATAAAACTATCACAAGGTCAAGTTTTTTTCTTCTAATGAATCAATCGTCAAGGCACGTGATAGGTTAAATGCAAATAACCCCAATAGTAAAACAACTTAACGTTTCTTAAATGAAAGTCAGAATTATAACATCTCTAGACAACTCCTGGTGCATATAAATAATTGTCCTTTACATTAAGACAAAAAAATACCTGGCCTTGACACAAAACTTAATCATCCACATCTCGTTTAATTGCTTCTTTCTCCATACTGAAGTTCAATTGAGTACAAAAATTCATTGTTGTCTTTACTAAGGGCTCGGAGCATTTTTGCTGTTGTATTCCTTTAATAAAAAATGAAAAACATTTGTTTCGGAATAATGTTATTTCTCTCAGGTCAACAAATTTCTAGTAGGATTTTATGTGATCTTGTGAGATTCTATGATCCTATAGACGGTTGATTGGTATTGGTATCTAGACGATCGGGGTCCAAGATAACATATATAACAGTTATACATGCAAGGTTGATATGAATACTGTCTGCTATATTGTACAGTACGTTTCACTAAACAATGATAAAAATACGTTCTTTTTCCAAATTAAAGATATTTTACAATCGCTTTTTATTCACAGAAACATATCGTCGAAAATTGTGCGCTTAGAAAGGACGATCACTAATTACCAAGACTTAAACTTATCTGTATCTAAAACGCGATTATAAAACAAATTTATTAGGTATAAACAAAGTTACGTTTAGTAATCAAAATGAGAAATCAAAGTTTAAGAATATAGTCTAAAAACAATATAGACTCAGTGGTCAATTTAAAAACTTTTTCTACCGCATGCTATGCGGTTTTATGAGGTACCTGGATGGAAAAATACTATTAGTTCTACTAGCGAAAATCAATTTTTTATACTTTAAGATACATGCTGTCGCACGTTGGTTAGTGATCAATGTCACTTGGTTTGACTATAAAACAATTACGTACATATCAAATATCATGTTACCAAAAAAAGTCTTACCCTTTGATAACTATTGTTCTAACAAGAACACATTGGCCTACATAAATATCCCTATATAACGATATCTGTTCTCTTCTCACCGTCCTACGTTTTCAAAAAAATCTTTCTTTTTCAAAAATTTGTGCGATGAAACGAAAAAATGAAAAAGAGATCATTTCCAATCGTGACGTCACTTATGGGAAGAGATCTCATCCGAATGTGTGAACCACCCTTAAACAGGAAAAAGTAGGCGAAAAAAAACAACAGAAGGAAGAACATTATTAAGACATTATTTTTTTCTTTCTATAACTGCATATGCTTCTAATACACCCATAATATATTCATTTCTGTTTTCACAACTGTTACGACGGCGACGAACTACGTCGACAACACATAATTAGTTTCATTATGTTTTTTCTTGGACGCAAATAATAACTGCCTTTATTTTTCATAACTGATCGGTATCATTCTTGCTAAAATGATTAAATTTATTTCTTATTTAAAGAAGTCACCACCGTACATTGATATCAATAAAAATTTGCAATTGTTTTATTATTTATTATTAAATTAGACTAAAAAAGTTTTATTTTTTTTAAAAAATCTACTAAAAATTGATGCACACAAAACTATCAGACTAAAAAACCAAAAACAAAAAAATTCTCGAGTGTGATTGATGAGTAATATGATCAGATACAAACTGTAAATAATGAGATTAAGATATATGACGTTTTATATAGGACACTCGAATGAATCACTGAGAGTACTATAAACCAGAAATGAAAAAATAAATCATAAACCATATTAAATATTTAACTGGCATATAATTACCAATAAGAGATTGCTAAAAAAATAAGAACTTAACTAGTTTAAAATAATTCATATGGACAAAAATATCTCTCAACTCAAGAAAGTTGAACTATTATCTTGATAAAAAGATTATCCATGTGCAAAAGAGATCAAAAAAAAAAGAAAAATGGACGGAATATTTAGAAACTATTCTGTAAAGTAGAAGAAATAAATGTTCTGATAGGATAAAATCTGCACAACTATATCACAAAATTAAATTGTCATTGTTGGGTTGGTGTTTTATTTCTTCTTGATGAGTTTGTTATTGAATGTCCATAGTTTTGTACGTATTGTTCTAATTCATTTTGTAAAAAAGCAATACGTTGTTGTAAATAGAGAATTTGTTGTTTTAACGATTGTATTGTATTCTCTAAATCTAATCGTACATCATTTGATAATAAACCTTTTAAATTGTTTTCATACGATATTTTACATTCAATTAATTCATGTTTATGTTGTTCTGATAAATAAGATAGTTTTCGTTCTAACTGTTCTTTCTTCAATGTCAACGTACTAAAATTCTTTTCTAAATTTTTCATACACGAATCAAATTGCTTAAAATAAAAAGATGCATTTTCGTATACTGAAAATAACGAGTGAGCCGTAAAAAACGGGTCAGACTTTCCACTCTACAAGACTATCAGATTGGATTGTCAAACAGAAAACTCTCCCGGACTAATATTAAAAGTATCAACATATACCCAATGCTCCTATTGTAACACTTCGGAAAGTTAAAAGCCCGCCCGCAAAATACAAACAAACATCCCACTAAAATTCTAATATCATAAAATTCTGTGCTAAATTCTACTTTTTCTGGTGTATGCAACGTAATTTTAGAGCAACGTCTCGTGTAGAAATTCTCACATAAAAAAGAGTCCTAAGCGCGAAAAAATTGAATTTTTTGTTTCGGTCTCTGGCCTGGAGGATTTTTCAACGAATATCCCCTGAAAACTTTTCAGGTAAAAGTCACTAATCATACAGAACTGTTTAGAATTGAATTTGCTCTTTGAAAATGCCAAAATAAACAAAATTTAAAATTAACTTTCTATTCAAAAGCTTGAAATATCTTAATTACTGGAAAAAATACGGCAAGAAAATAATTTTAACCATTTTATAAACTCAAATTCTACTTCTAAAACTTTCGAGACTGATCAGGTTGATAGAAGACAAAACTCTCTATCGTTTGATATAAACGAAGTTGCTCTTGATATCAATTTGAAGAGCAGAAACATTTTTTTAAAAAGGGAGAACAAGTCCGTCACAGTATGAACATTGAGTAGATGGGAATCTCAACAAAAAAATTCCAATGTGCACCGGTGCGCACTGGCATGCCATCGGTCACTGGTTAGCACCGGTGTGCACCCGTGCCCAGCAAGTGCCGATATATTTCTGCCCAAAACGTATCGCACTGGTAAAAATCAGCACTGAAATTTATTTAATCAATTTAATTAGGTTTTTATTATAGTTGTTTCTGAATTATTAAAGTGCAGCACTGATCAGTACCACATGGACATGCCAAAACCATGCGCCATTGCCTCGGCACTTCTCTTGTGAGAAGAAAAGGATGAAGTCAGAAAGACATTCGAAATATTAGAAGTAGACTGTGGTATTCATATAGACAGAAATTGACAAAACAAAATGGTGATTGAAAATAAAACTTCGGCACTGGTGTGCACCGGTGCGAGATTTTTACATTCTTTCTGGCATCACTGCACATCGGTGTCCAGAAAAAATATTATTCGACACCCATGCGCATCCGTGTACAATCAGTGTCGATAAAATATTTTTTTCTAGATATGTTTTTTGTTCGGCAATTCAACTTAACGGTCTTGTAGAGCGAAAAATTTATCTATCAAATGAGCTAGGAGTATCCACACTATAGAAAACTGCCCGATTGATCTAACGGCCAAGAAAAAAAAAGTGCTTCGTTTCGTGATTTTTAGACGTTTTTTTTCGGCAGTTTTTCTTTGCCTTACATACATTGCAAAAGACTTGTAATCAATAATTATCCATTCAAAATAAAATTTGAGCTTGGTTTCGTCTAAATGCACTTAGACTGTATTAGTGATTTGAATAAGTGCACACATACTGCATTCATTCAAGTCCCTAATACAGTCTAAGTGCATTTAGACGAAACCAAGCTCAAATTTTATTTTGAATGGATAATTATTGATTACAAGTCTTTTGCAATGTATGTAAGGCAAAGAAAAACTGCCGAAAAAAAACGTCTAAGGCCGTAGCAACGGCATCCTTTGGCCGTTAGATCAGATAAACAGAAAATGATTTTGACCAGTTCATTGCCGTTCACCCGTTAAACTCTCTTTTTTTAAAGAAATTTTATCTTACCGATTTAATTTCATTTTTTTCCTTAATACATTGATCACTTAACAAATTAAATTGTTTATCATAAAATGATTTTATTTTACTTTGTTCATCTTTGAATACTTGTATCATTTTCTGTTGATCATTAATAATAGATTGTTGTTTAACATTTCTCTCTTGAAATTCATCTAGATAAGAAATAAAAATCAATTGTATCACTATTAAACAAATAGATAGAATTATTACCTTCAATTGATTTCAATTGTTCGTGTGTTTTTGCTATTAACATTTCGATTCGTTTTTCGTATTCATTATTCTTATATTCATACTGTTTTTCAATTTTTTTAATAAATTGCTCATAATCATTGATAATCTAAACAACGACAATATATGAAAAAATACAAATCGATTCTATAACAATTGAAAATCAATCTTCCATTATACCAATGGGATTTAAAAACAAACATCTCACTTGTTGTTTCTCATTGTCATATGTCAATCGTTTTTCATTATACATTTTTTCCTGTTGTTTAATATCTTGTTTAAATTTTTCATCTTGTTTTTCTATAATTTGTTCATATTTTACTTTGAGATCATTCAATTCTTTATTATAATGATTCTTCATTTTTTCATCATACATTTCTTTATCTTGTTCATATTTTAATCGTAATTGTTCGATTAATTTCATATGTTCTTTATTCAAATTTTCAGTTAATAAATGCTCATTTTGACGATTTTTTTCGTTCAGTTCTTTAATCTAAAACAGATTATAAACAAAAAGTCTTTTCAATGGATCTTCTTACGCTACACTATGATCTTGTAATTGTATCGATAATAAAAAATAAAAATACTCAACCTTTTCTTGATATATGGAATCGGAATCATTTTTTATTTGTTCAATTTTTTTTTCATTTTTCTCATTTAACTCTTTTTGTTTCATATATAAATCATTGATTTGTCGAATTTCATTCACTTTCTGTTTTAACTCATTTTGTAACAGATCATTATGTTTTTGAAATTGTTCAAATTTTTCATAGGTTTGTTCAAATTTAATAGTATTTAATTTTTTCTCATACTCATTTTCATATTCGGATAAATTTATTTGATAAGTTTTTTGTTGATCAGCTAATTTTTGTTCAAATAATTTTTGCATATCATAAAATTTTTCAGTAATTAATCCAAGTTGTTTTTCTAATTCATCTATGGTTTTTGTTGCTTTTGTTTTTGTTAAATCATTTTCTTTTTTTAACAGTTCAACACCCGATTCACAACGTACCTTGACAGATTTTAATTCATTTTCATAACGTTGTACTTGATCTTGATAATCACGATCATTATGACGAATTTTTCCCGTTAATTCTTGATTCTAAACATAAAATAATTGACGTTATCTTTTGATTAAAAATGTGTTTTTTTTTTCATTTCTCAAGTCAATTTTTGCTCTCAGACACAAATAAGAGCAATAAATGAAACAAAAATCAAACATATCACGGTATGTAAGGATTTGTTGTTTTTTTTGACTCACTAACGAACACATACTTGAAGTGTTAATTGCTCGTTTGTTTTTTGCAACTGTAATTTTTCTTCTTCAACTTTTTGTTTTGATTGTTGTAATCGTTCAACATTCGTGCGAAATTCACCTAAACGTTTTTCCATTTCGCTAACACTTGAATCATTCGTCTGTTGTTGATATTTATAATCGTTTTCCATTTTTTTCAAGCGCTATTAGAACAAAATAATAAACATATAGTTTTTTAAATATGTCAACGTAAAGGTCTTTCTACAGACTGTAGAAGCATTTGCAAAGCTACTTATGAGAAAATAAAGCATAGATTAATTGTTAAAACTTGTTCTCTTTCAACTGTTTTCTAACTATCTCTCGATCATCGGTCAACTTACGACTAATTAATCTTATCTCTATTCAGAAGTCTGCAAACATATTATTATCAAAGATACACTTCTAGTGTCATATTTTGTTTCTTCGATTAGAATTTAAATGTTGATCATATAAGACATAAACTTACTTGATTTGTTTCATCCAACAAATCTTGATAGATTCGATTATGATGTTTTTTCATTTCTTGTTTATCATCTTCATAAAATGTTTTCATATCTGAAAATTTACGTTCCATATCTTGTTTGTATTGTTCATAGTCATTTTTTATTTGAATTTGTTCTGATTTAATTTGATGTTCGAGCTCATATTTTATACGTTTATTCTCATCATTTAATTGATTTATTAGTAATTCAAATTTTTTATTATTTTCCAACGATACACGTAATTTAGATTCATATGACGATTTTATACTCTCTAATTCAGAATTTTTTTTATCAAGTAATTTTTGTAATTCTTTTTGCCATATTAAACTTTGTTCTCGAATTTTTGTCTCAAATTGTCGAACAAATGAATCAAGTTCCATTGGATTTCGTGACATTATTGAACGACGTTGTTGTTGACTTGCTATTGGTGGAAGACCATGATCGTTAATTGATGTTGTTGTAGGAATGTGAAAAGATAAATTTTGTGCAGATAACGATCGATGTGAAACACCAATACCATTTCTATCCGTCATGTTTTGATGCTGAATATTTGATGCAACTGATGCAGATGATGATAAAATACTCTGTAATACTTTGAAACCATTTTCTTCAAAACTCTCTGACCTTTGCAACTTTACTCGTTCATCATTAACTGATGTCTCCGGATATTCTGTCATAGTTGTCATCTAAAATACAACAAAAGATGATTGCTTACTATCACTGATGTACTAACACTCTAGAATTATAATATTAAGTCTAGTCTGACAGTTGAGTCATCAACTAGATATCTTCTCAAGCAAAATGAAAAGTCAAAATACTTTACCAAAAATTTTAGTCATTTGTAGTATAACCAAAAACTAAACAGAAAATAATGAAATATTTATTTTAAAAACAAATTTATTCACTAAATCTAATTTATAATACTCTCGACAAGAGTTAAAGCGTTATTCTTAATCAAATAAAGCTGATCCATGAAAAAATAACAAATATTCGGTTTTTTTCGAAGTTTTTTCGTTAGAAGACAGGCAAGCAACGGCATAGACGGAAGTGTTACTGAGTTAAAAAGCATTTTCAATCTTAAGCGAATAGAAGATTGAGAGCAAACTTTAGATTCATTAGTCTAGCAAAAAGGTTAGATGAATAAGAGATAGAAGTTTCTTTACCGGGCTGAAAAGATCCATAGTCATTGACGTTTTACATCGACCGTATTATTCGTTTGAACTTGACTTTAAGCTATCAAAAGCTGATGTTGATAATAAACGAAATACAAACGTCTATGCTCGATTTTTGGCGAGTAGGGAGTCTTTAAAATGTCGCTGAAGATTATAACGCAGCAGCCTTTTTTTTAAAGGAACTATCAGTATTTAGATGCAATTCCCTTGCTATAGACAGTTATTCTTTTGTAATAAGTTTTCTTATTGTGTCGATAGTTGTAAATTTTTTTCTATCAACGCTAACGATTAGTTAGAGAAAATCTGATTACTATACTTGCTTTCCACTGTTTAGTTAAGGGCAAATCTTTACCAAAAACGTTTTGTTTATAGTATTGAAATTATGATAAATAAAAACAATAGGGACTTCCATATATTTTCCTCGTCTAGAGATTTATTTACGGTGCCCCGTGTAACTATTTTGGGTTCTTCTACAAATTGATCACACCCCCTGCTGTGATGTGTGAGTGTATGATCAATGTGTAGAAGTACCTATGTTGTCATTGGACACAACTTTCTTTTCAGCTGGCTCCCTTTTTCTTTTGGAGCTTCGAATATCAGTAGGACGTTAAATTAGTAAAATGATACCAAAGTGCCAGATGTCGATGCAGCTCACTATGCTCGCTGTCTTGGTCTGTAATCTGACAGTTTGTACGGATAGTAGATACGTTGGGTTGTGAGGATGGTTAATACTGACTTATTTGTGATGAGGTACTGAATTTAGTGATAAAGAAGAATGGAACCAAATACACCAAATAAAAGATTTGATTTATATGATATATACATACAATAACCACCGGTCGATCAATTAGTTACGTTAATGAAGCAAAAGCTGTGATTGGATCATTTGCGAAACAATCCGCAATTTTTCAAGAAATAACAACCGCCTGAACAATTTGCATGATCCTTGAAATGTGGCGCCATCTTCACAATTTCTCACGATTTTAGCTGTCAAGCTATGTTGAATGAGAGAGTATCTAAGCTTGCTATGGCCGAATATGCAATTTTTTTCATATGCAATAAGTTTTTGTTTTATCAATTTTGACAGTTTATAAGACTATGAAGATATAGTATGTAGACTCCACTTATTCTGTGATATATACGAGATTCGTACGTGTAACGGAGCCCAAAAGAATAGAAATAGGAAGTGAAATTCTACTTGGTTCCTGTGTAAAATCCAAACTTTCATCCAGTGAATTTTATTGGAGAAATTCTTCTGTATATCACAGAATAAGTGGATAGTCTACATACTAATATGTTGAGAGTAAATTTTGTCACCAAAAGTATAAAAACGATATTGCATTAGACACTTCCATAAGCAGTTTTCTAGTTTGTTTTCGTTTATTCAATTTTTATTATGAATATTGATTATTCGAGGAATAAGACAAAACAGGATTACGCTAATTTTTAAACATGTAGAAGCGTTCAGAGATAAAACAAAACAGAAAATACAATTATCCAGAAAACTGTGAATAGACGATCAACGTTTTTAAAATTCAAAAAAAAAGAATAAAAAACGAACAAAATTCGCAACACAAAAAAAGAAATGCCGAGAAAAACAGGACGGATAACTGTTCAATGGAGACAACGAACATCTTTGGCTGTTTTTCTGAAAAATGATGGACGTAAAGAGACACAAATATCTACATAACATGACAAAAAAAAAGAGAGAGAAAAATTTGACAAAAAACCGGAAAAAATATGTCTGAAAACAAAGTAACGAATTGATACATACATTTAAACACCTGAGATGTTAAAAATGAAATGATTCCATTTGTTTGAGAAACAAATTGCAAAATTGTACAGAATTTCTAACAGTATATGATTAGTGTTAGACTGGCTAATTATTAAAGAATACAATTGATCAACTACAAACAACTAGCTCATAAAAGATAAAAAAAAGAAAAAAGAAAGTAAAAACGAAAGACAATGAATTTTATTCAATAGTAGAACATATATATGCAAAGTCTTTACAAAGAAGGAAATATAAATAGTATTATTAACAAAAGGAATCAGAGATTTACAATAACGAAAGAAGTCAAACAATGCGTATTCTGATATTCACCGTACAAGGATTTGCATATTAAAACAAAAAGGCTCTGAAGAAAACATGATTTCATTTTTTATCTGTAACACTCTGTATTTTATATTGTTGATGATGATGCGGTGATTGATAAAATAATTTTAGACCATTTCGAATATATTTTTTGAGTCCACCGGTTGATGTTGGTATTTGATTTCCAGTATCATTTTGATCTATTGATAATACTGTAGAAGGGGATGAGGATGCAACAGAACGATCGTCGGTATGTCGATTACTAGTACTACCATTGCCATTATTCGTTGTACTATTTTCGGCAATAATAACAAGATGTGTTGGTCGTGATTTTGAACGTGAATGATCGGGTAGAGAGTTTGTTTTTGATCTATTATCAACATTATTCACTACTTCAATGGAACGACGCATATTTGTATTGAAATTTTTATTCTGAAATTGTTTGGTATTTTGTTCGAAAAGGGTTGTTAATGCTCTAACCGATTTTGGAGGTATTTGTTCAATATCGTTGTCGACAATTGTTGATTTTATCTCATCATCGTCAGCTTTTAATGTATCTTCTGTTGCTGTGGTAGCCGATGACGTGTTTTGATTTTCATCCAGTTCTTCTTCTTCTTCTTCTTCTTCAGAACTAACATCATTCTCCCTGTCTTCAGCATTTTCCTCGTTATCACTATAATCGGGATGACTTGCGTGTTGATAATATTGCTCATGTTGAACAGCTATTAAATCATTTTCACTTCTATATAATTTTTTCATGTTTCGTTGATTATGGTGATGATAATAATGATTTTTATTCGTTCCTTTTTGCCGTTGTAAAATATTTGATGCCGATTTTGGACGAACTTTATTTGGACTACTTTCAACTGCGACATGATATGTTAGTGCAGATTTTGAAATTGATGGTGGTACTGGAGCCTGATGTTTTTTATTTCCAACCGGTGTTATATACAGACAGTCAATACTTTTTCGCAATGGGCTTTCATCTACTCTTAATGGAAGATTAACCATACTTTCGCTAATATTGTGATTATTATGATCATTTTTATCTTCAAATGATGAGTATTTGGAATTTTTAACTAATTGTAAGGTATTCATTGATGAGCAAAGACTTTCTTTATTCGAATTTGTTATTGATGTTGGTGGTGGAGAGGTGGAGTACTTTGGTTCATAATGAATTTGTCTTTGGGGCGTTACTTGATTGCAATGATTTGAAGACAGTGGTGATTTTGAATGCAAAAGGGCGGATGAATGACTAGTATTTATAGAAGAATAAGAATTTGATGAAACGGTAGATGATGATGAACAGGAAGTTAGAGAATCAAAACAATCTTGAGCCATTTGTAATAATAATCGATCCAATTCAAATACTTGAACATCAATAACAGAATCAGACCTTTAAAAATATGAAATGGGGATTCAAGTCTATTTTCAAATAAAACTCTAACAATGAAAAGAATGACTTACATTCCTTGACTTCTCAACGCACTTGACATTCTTTCAAATAATTCCCGTCTTATTTCTTTAATCATGTCATTACGACTTTTAGAAAGTTCATTTTGTATTTGTTTCTTCGTTGTCAATTCAATGTTATCCAAATAATTAACTATTCCCACTGAAAAAACAACAACACAAAGTTAAAAAAATTTAGTATTTTATCGAATACTGTAGTTTTACTAGTGCACATGCAATACCTTATACCAGAGATGATTCATTCTCAGTGTAGAAATTATTCACAGTATTAATAGCATTCACTAATAATTATCACAGCAAAATGTTAGCAGTTAAAGCATGCACATATTAGAAAAACACAGTTGTGTAAAATATTCTTCTTCCTAGAATTTATTTATTTATGTCTTAATTTCGAATTTTTCTTTTATTCATCTCTACTTTATTTTCATTCCATTTGAAAAACATATAAAACACATACTCCTTCTTAGAAAACCAAATAGCTTATTCTATAGAGTAAGTTGGAGTAATTCTGGACAGCCTGTTTAATTTTCACAGTATTCTAAGCATATCTGAAGCCTTTTTACTCGAGAAAAAATGACACTTCATAGGTGGATAGATCGAACATTTCTCTATCTAATGGTGTAAAAGCCTTGTTAACGTTTAATAAGATTAATTAGTACTCATCAATTTCCAGAGAAAGTCTATCAAGTATCCATAATTCCACCAAATGTGGTAATTACGGACAGGCAGGGTGTCTCTTTGGGGTAATTCTGGACGGTCCAGCAAAAATGGCTGAAAGAAAGTAAAACAACTTTTTTTCAACGACAAAGTTTTACCTTTTTAATTAAAAATGATACCATCTTGCAGAGTATTTTGAGCTCTATCTATCTTGTAAATTGCCAGTCCTTTAGATATATCCTTGATTAATTAATTAGAAATTACGAAAATAAAAGAACAGAGTCGTTTTTTTCGTTTCTATTGTTCGGGGTAATTCTGGACAGTCCGTGCAAATCGCACACGATAGACAGAAATCAACTTGCACCGATTTTGACATCATGCTAAACGGCAAAGTTGTTCAGAGTCATGCGCTATATCATCATATACGTGAAAACCGGACAAAAATAGTGTATTTTCACCGTTTCCTGTAGAGAATATGAATAGATTTAAACTTCTAACCGCAGGAATTTCATAAATCTGTGAATTAAAGCAATAAATATTTGGTATCTCACGTGAAAGATTTCTTATTTACCGTAGAATTCTATGACTTTGTAATAAATAAATTTGCACGTTAAGGAAATACGTTCAAAAACAACGATTTTCATATTCTCTACAGGAAACGGTGAAAATGCACTATTTTTGTCCGGTTTTCACATATATGATGATATAGCTCATGGCTCTGAATAACTTTGCTGTTTAGCATGATGTCAAAATAGAAATGAAAAAAACGACTCTGTTCTTTTATTTTCGTAATTTCTAATTAATTAATCAAGGACATATCTAAAGAACTGGCAATTTACAAGATAGATAGAGCTCAAAATACTCTGCAAGATGGTATCATTTTTAATTAAAAAGGTAAAACTTTGTCGTTGAAAAAAAGTTGTTTTACTTTCTTTCAGCCATTTTTGCTGGGCCATCCAGAATTATTCCAACTTTAACTCCATTCAAATTCAAAAGAGTTATTACGAGAATGCTGCCGATTTTCCAAATATGCTTTACAGCATAGTTATATTGAACTTCCTCACAAGTGCAACAAGAAGGTTCTAGTATAAGCAAAGTTAAGATATCAAATCAAACATTGTCAGGAAGAAGAATAGATGTACCTCGATGATGCACATCAAAGATCATTTTGCATGTTAAACGTAACAAAGCAATGATTTCGGTTGTATACACTTCTAAAATGCAAATAAAATACTAATCTTAATTTTTGATTATTCTTTGCTAGTTTACGTCACATAGTCTCATTTATGTCATGTATCTCACGTGACAGATGACGTAACAACACTTATGTTTAAGAATATTATTCATCACCATTTTGTTAAAAAAGTTTCTACGGATGAATTTTGCATTTTAATAATTATAAATAATTCGTACTGTAAAAAAATTATTTAGTTTTAGATTTTGCTCCCATTTTTTTAAAAAAACTACAAATTATTTAGAGGTTCTCATGCGATTTTCCAACTTTTTAGCGTAAAATGGATGACAAAAAAAATAATAGAGATGAAATAGTGGACACAAAGTTAGAAAAAAATGACTGGATCAATTTAAAATTATCGCAATCTTAGAGATTTTGGTAACCGTTTCAGTCTGCTCCTTACGACATTCATAACTCAGTACATTTCTGGTTCAAATTTTTACCATCTTCATGCTAAAAAAACGTTCCACCTAGCGTCTTAAAGGATAGCCTGCTTGATGTACATTCTGTTTACAATAAGATCTGTGAAAGCTTCTAGAACTTTCACATATTTTACTGATCGGGTCAATCTTAGCTCTCAAAATATTCGGTCATTAAGCACTAGTTGTGCATCGATAACTCTCATTATAACCTTCGATCTTCGTAACTCTTGTCCGAATCATTTTCATGGTGTAGAAAAACAATGATTTATGTGTGGTCTTAAGCGTCAGTATAATACCCACAATAATCACAGAAGCAACATTTTCCAAACAAATTCATTCCGACATTTTTCATTCATCAAAGCATCCACATACCATAAATTATAAAATGGAAATTTTAGCATGCAAATAAATTAAAAAATTAAAAAATTTGAAGCAATAAAATAATATCATGCTGAAAATATAACAGGCAGCATATTTTGGCAGCATTTTCTTACACTCAATGGACGTTTTATTTGTATTTTCTTACTTGAACAACCGACGAACTATTTTTCAGTACTGCATTACCTCGTAATTTCTCAACCGTTGCTAAATAAGTTTCTTTAACAGAATCAAACGAGATCATATCTCGCATTGTTAAATCAGTCTAAAAGATTGAATATAAAATTATATAAAATACGTTTTCAGAAGATTACACATATACATACCTGAACAAATTCAGGTAGACCAACTGCCATTGTTTTTTGATTTTTATGTAATTTTAATCTTTCTTGATTTAATTCATTTTTCAAATCATCAACAGTTATTGTATGTTGTCTAATCATATTGGCTATTTTCATTTGTAATGATGAAATTAATTGTTGATAATCACTTTCCTGTTGTGTATACTGCGTTCGATCATTATTCAATCTAATAAAAATAAAATGTAATAAACAAACTAGTCTAGTTTAATAAAATACAAAATCTTATTCGTTTCTTCAGTACATACAATGTCTTTTACAAGTGATTACTAAAAGCAAACACGAACATCTGCAAATATTGCCAAATTAAAATCTCAGTTAGTCAATCGATAGAGATATCTACTACCTGTTTCAAAATATAAGACAATTGGATGCTTTTTTAATCACTTTTGAAGGGAATAACCTACAGACTTAGCTTTTAAGATTATGGAAGAGGACACCAGCTGGCATAATTCTATGCTTAATTGAACCAAATCCGACAGGCCTACCATGATGTACCTTTCGAAACCAAATATCTGAGCCTGCTGTTCCATTGCTCTAAATACATGTGGATATACATGTCTCTATACAACCTGGCACAAGTCCCACGTCTCTATCTATCGTGGTTCGGGCACTACTGACAATCTCCAGGAATCGGTCTATCGGCTAAACCCGAAGTTTGAGAACCTCAAAGGTACACGGGACATAGATTTTTGAGATCGCTGAATCTCGTGGCAATGTTTGTTTTGTTGTCCGGATTCAAGAAACCTCAGAGTACGATTTTTTCAGAAAATTCAATTTTTCCACTGTGACCATAATAAAATAAAAACCTTCTAACACCTATATTTCTCAACCAAATTACATGAAACTTGAAGAGTGAGCATAAGAGAAGGTGTTCTATCCGATGTGATGACCAGAACTACAAAAAGACCAACCGAACCCTCGACAAAGATCTTCAGATAAAGCTCAGTATGAGAAATAATTCTAACCTTCCTAAACTGTACAGCAGACTAAATAAGAGTGGGTTTTGAAAATTTGAAGCAATTTGGTTGAGAAATATAGATGTTAGAAGGTTTTTATTTTACTATGGTCACAGTGGAAAAATTGAATTTCTGAAAAAATCGTACTCTGAAGTTTCTTGAATCCGAGATATCTGCACATATTATATATCATAGAAAAACGATGAAATTCTCGATAAAACTACTATTCAGATAGACTGTCATTCTCTTTAACAGCTGCTTTATTTTTCCTAGATTTTAAACTGGCTATAATTGGAAAAGTTAATCGCAATTAAAAATTTTAACAAAGAATTTTTAGGTAATAGTAATTTTGTAGAGAATTTTATGGGTTATTTAATATAGTTATGTCGTATCTGAAAGGATGAATTTTTTCAAAATTCTACAGATATATTTTTTGGTTGAAAATAGCACCAATAAACTCAAAATAACCTTAAGATGCATTTGACATACTTCATTTAGGTTATTTATTAGACGCTTTGATACTTAGTTCGATGAGCTCCATCGATTGACTAAGATTTTAATTTGAAGATGTTCGTAAATGTCCATGCTTTTTAAGTAATATTCTCTTTCATGCTGATTTCTTTCTAGTAAAAATGAGCAAAAGCTTAAATTTCTCGTCACTTTTTCGTAATTATTGCACATTCTACGCTAACTCATGCAGAAAAAATAAATAAATAATTTAAACAGAATAACATGCATAATAGAATGAAAAAAAAATTTGTGGCATCATGCATTACTTGCCTCAAGGGAATAAACTGGCTGTAATAAAAAAAATAAATATAAAATAAAAAGATGCATTTTAAACAATTCCTCGCTTAGTTATTGAATTCTTCGTCCGATTACTGTAGTCGCACATATTTTGTTACAAATCATAGAAAATTACAATAAATTAATACCAATTTTACGTGAAATACTCACGTTTCATTTGATTGTTCGAGTAATTTAACTAAATGTTCAATACGATTTTGTAAATTTTCTTGACGATTTTTATTATCTTGTTCATAAATATGTTTTTCATTTGTATAGGCTTCTTTTAATTTTGTTATTTCATCAAAATGTGTTGTTTTCAAATCATTTATATTTATTTTTAATTGTTGTATAATATATTCACAATTATCTAATTGTTGTTTCAATTGTTCATTTCTTGCTTGAAGACGTTTTTGTTCACGTTGACATTCTTCAATAACATTTGTATATCCATCATCTAAATCTTTTTTCATTGTTTGAATTTGTTTTTGATGAGTATCAATTAATTTTGCTTGATGTTGACTTAAATCAATATTTTCTTTATATAAACGATCAATTTCATTACGATAGAGTTTTTTCATTTCTTCTGAATCTTGTAAATGTATTTCATCTTTCTTTGATTCATTGCCCGTTGATACTGATGTTAAACCAGTAGTTCCTGTAGAAATGGCACTATTCGTTGGTGTAACTGAACGTTGTTGTTGTCCAAAATCTTTTGTTAATTTTTGTTTCATTTTTTCTAAATCTTGTTGATGTTGTTGATTTAATGTATTTACAATTTGTTGTTTTAACAATACTTGCTCTTTTTCAAAACGTCGTTTATATTCTTGTTCAAGACTAGTTTTTATTTTTTCTATTTCTTGTTTTAAATGTGAATCGGCCAAATTTAGTGCACGATTTAATTCTTGAATGCGCACTTCATACTGATGTTTTTCATTTTCATGTAATAAACTTTTTTCACGATATTCAGCTTCTTTCTCCTACAGTACAAAAGAGATCAATGTATTATCAGAGAGATACAGCATCAGAGCCGTAGTCAGGGGAGAGGATCAATCCCTGGCTACGGGCCTGTACGGCATGACCATGTGACTCAGCTATCGAAATGATATATTCCACCATGAATCTCTGCACATGAATGTCGAACATGTCGAATATATGTTTGTTTATAACATAAGGTGTTAGCGACGTCTATGTGGTTTTTTTTGCCTGTAATCCTGTACTTATTGAGTACTAAACTTCTAATTATGTCTTTCAATGATCATTCTTTCGTTGAAAATTTATGAAACGCAAAATTTCGTGATAGAATAGCACTTTGATAGCAGAGTTATGTGATCGTAGTGAATAGCAAATACACAAAACTAACCTGAATAGTTGTTCCTGTATTGTGTGTCATTTCTTTTATTTTGTTTTCGAGATTGGTTATTTGTTTTCTCATTTCTGTTAACTTAGCTTCATACTGAAGAGTCTAAATAATAAAAAACATTCTTAATAAAAAAATTTTATTCTTTAAATTCTCTGACTATTTATAGTTTAAAGTAATATAAATATAGAAATGATTGAGTAGAAGTGGTTAGATTAAGAAGTTTAATAAAGTATAGTATCACTGTAAAGATCATATTCCTATGACTAAGTTTATTTTCTTCCATACGATATTTCGACAGCTACTGCTATCATTATCAAGTGAAAATAATTGACAGACTGTACAGTTAACAGAGATTCACACCATATATATAAAGCACAACTTAGTCATAGGAATATGATCTTTACAGTGGTACTATACTTTATTAAACTTTTTAATATAAATATTTTTGAATATCACACAATCATGAACAAACAAATAGATTTTTGAATAAAAACTAAAATTTACCTTCTCTTTTTCTATCTCAATTTCTTTCTCACTAATAATTTTTTGTATCGATTCTTTATTATCAGTTAACATTTGTTTGTATTCATCTGCATAACGTGCCTCTAAACGTTTTTCTAATTGTTCATATTTTTCTTTATTTTCTAACTGTAAATTATCATTCTCTTTTTGATTATTTATTTTTCGTTCATAACCATCTAGTTTCAATTTTATTTGTGTCAATTCTTGTTCTTTATTTTGTAAAATATCTTTCATTAAACGTAAATCCATTTTATACGTATCACGTTGTTGAGTAATTTTTTGCAAATTATTTTCTAATTTCAAACGATATTCTTCATATTGAGATACTAAAAGAATAGGATGAATATTTAAAGATAATGATTCATGAGTAGAGATGTTAACCAAAAAGATTAACATTCTTTTTCTTCTTTTTTATTTACGTCTAAACAACAGTGATGACGAACGATAGTGGAGCGTGCGGACTAGCGATCGAGACTTTTTTAAAAGAAAAATTATTTTTTAACATACCTGCATTTTCATAATTACTAATTCTTATTTGTAATGACTCAAATTCTTGTTTTAATTCTTGATGTTCTTCGTTGATAACATGCTGTTGTCGAAAATTATCAATATAATTTTGTTTATTAATTAAATCTTTTTTCAAATTATCAATTTGTTCATGTAATTGTTTCATTTCATCGAATATTTTCATTTCATCATTTTTCCATGTCTCTTTAATATCTAATTTTTCTTGTTCAATTAAATGAGTTGTTTTAATTAGATTTTGATTTTCATTCTCCAATGTATTCAAATTATTTAGTAATTCTTTTTGTTTTAAATTCAGATCGTAATAACTAAAAAATAGTCAAATATAAATAAACTATTGACTTTAAAAGTAGTAAAGGAAGAGGAGCTAGATATGAGATAAAAAGAACAACAACAACAGCCATTTCAATTATGCATTCTACTTCTTGAACATAAAATAAATAAATAAATAAACAATCTTACTCAGTTTTTAATTGTTCAAATTCTTTTTCAACATAATGTAAGTTCTGTTTTGCTTCATCATTTATTCTCAACTGATCTATTTCTAATTTTAATTCATTAATTAATTTCTCATGGGATAATTTTTCTTTTTGTTTATCATTCTCTAAATATGTTATTCTTTGTTGAAGATCATTTTTTATTGTTTCCAATTGTTTTTCTAATATTTCGTGTTCATTACGTAATGCTTCATTTAATTTTAATTTTTCATCAATAATATTTTCATAATGTGATTTTTCATCCAAATATATATCCTTTTCTGTAACTAATTCAAAATTTTTTTCTCTTAAATTTTTAATATCTAATTTATATTGTTCAAGTTCTTCATGATTCGGTGATTGTTTACGTAATTCATCTAATTTTAATTTAATCTCTTGTTCATATTTTAAACGAAGTTTATCTTCAATGGAATTTTTTTCTTGACAAACATTAATATAAAGTTCTTTTGTACGATCTAATTCTCTCATATCCGTACGTAATTGCTCATTATCACTATTCAATTGTTCAACAATTATTTTTAACTCTTGTTTCTCATAATCAGACTTTTCTGTTAATTGTACGATAGACTTTTTTAATGTTTGAATTTCATTCATTAATTGTTCAATCATGGCCCTTTGTTCCTTATTTTCATCTTCAATTTTCATCGTTTCATCATCACGCTTATGTAATTCTTCATTTAATTTAATAAGATGTTGTTCATTTGAAGCATATTCATCTATAAGTTTTTTTAAATTACAATTTTCATTAATCAATGTTGTTGTTTCATTTGATAATTTTTGATTTTTAACATGGTTACTACTATGTAAAAGTGTTTTCTCATCTCCATTTTCATTATCATCAGATAATGTTCCTGTTAGAAAATGAGAGTCATTCGGAACAACTTGACGAGATAAACTAAAAAATGACAAAAATAGAATGAAGTAAAATCTAAAAACTGACAAACATGTATTTAAATGTAAAAATTTTAATATATACCCTGATATTTCAACGATTGATGCATTTGTAATACCAAAAAGTTCAGTATTAACATCATTTTCAGTTACTCCAAGTCTCTCTCGTAATGTTCGAATTTCAGTCTAAAATAAAATAGAAACAAGTAGCATCACTTCACCGAAATTGTTTTATTTGATAAGAAATTTACATAAGATTTGTATGATTTGCAGTGTTCAGACGCAAAGAAAATAGAATGAAAAGCAGTATTTGTGCTATTGATAATATTGTATTCATGAGCTGATGATAATGATCATAACAAAAATTATACTTTTTATAAATCGAAAAAATATTTACTGATATTATACAAATCTTAGTGTACACAGATAAAGTAGAAAGAGAAACACGGATCCTTATTTGTACACGAACTTGATTTTATCTTATTATCTTACCCATGTTGTTAATTCTTTAACCATCTTTAAAAAATGTTATATAATAGCTGAAACAGGCTTTAAAATATGACCATTGTAATTAACAAAATTGACTGTAAAATTCGTTTTTCTCTTATCACACTAAGGGAGGATCTATTTCTTTGTTTTCGTTTCTTTCGTTAGAAAAAATAACAGATTTTCTTTTCTTTTTAATTGCATTTTTTTCTCTAAAATATGCCGTTTTTATGCTTTCTTTCCTATGTCAAATGTAATGTGGTGACTTCAAAATAGATAAGCACGAAGGTTATTTCAATAGGATAAAAGGCGAATTTTATCTGCAACACTTCATTGTGCAACAAAAGCTAACAGTTAAAAATAACAATGTATTCGTCAGATAAACATTGAAATATATGCAATGCATATCGCTGACAGACGAGGTTTAGTTTAGTCAATAATGAGGATTTACCCATAGATAATTGAAAAATTATTTTTGTTGAAGGACAAACATGCATTTAAAAAACATAATATTTCATTTCTTCTAAACACTCTCTCGTGTAAAAATACTTCGAATAGAATACTATATTTATACAAAAGATTTGTCAAAATTAACTGTAAATACTAAATTCTTTACTTCTTTTAAATTATCTATTCTTTCAGCTACAAAATATTTCTACAACTAGCCTACATTTCTAATTTTGTACCTGTAATATCTGACATGTCTGTTCCATTTTCTCTTTTTCATCCGTAATTCGTTTTAATTGACGTTTCATTTCTGATTGATTTAAATTTTCCATTGATTTATTTGTTAATAAATCACTATACTGTCGTTGACATTCATGTAATTGTTGATTAAGTCTATTAATTGTTTCCATTCTTTCAAAAATTGCACGTTCATTATTTTTACAAGCAACATCTAATTGAGCACGTAAATCATCAAGTTCAACATTCTTTTAAATTATAGGAAAATACAGTAATAAATAAATTAAAATAAACAAATAGATAAAACATACTTTTTCCTGTAAATTCATCTGTGTCACTTGCAATTTTTCTTTTAATGCTATAATTTCATGTTCATGTTTTTCTTTCATACTTGTTAAAACTAATTCACAATCTTGTTGAGTACGCGATATTGCTTCAAAACGTTGTAAATCATTTATTTTACGATGTAGAGAATCAATCAACGATTCAGATTCATCTAGTTTCTTTTCGAGCTGCAAAAATAAATAAACAAAATAAAAATAAAAGTTCGAAAAATGAAGATTCTCTGACAATCAAGATGCTACTAGCACGAAAATATGACAAAAGAATGAATAATCAAGATTATATCGAGGAACCATTTTTAACTTGTTGCTTTGTTACTCTTTAAAATCGAAGCTTAACTGTACATCTCCCTTCTTCAAGGTCAATTTTTGGACAATTTAGACACTCTCTTTCTCTCGAGAATACGCATACAGAGAGAAAACCTACTTCTGATTTTGATTCATCAAGTTTTTGTATATGTGTTTTCAATAATGTTAAATTTGTTTGTAATTCCATATTTTCGTGCATTAAATTATTACATTTTTCATTTGTCGATTCATACCGTCGTTCATAATCATGCTTGGCAGCTAAAACAATGCAAATAAAAACATATACCTTATTGAAATATCTCTTTTCTTTTTTTATTTGTTGAAATTACTTTCGGCCAATTCATTTTTGTGTTTCAATGCCCGTAAATCACTGTTATATTTTTCAAAATAGGCTTCACAACGATTCTCTAATTCGTATATTTTGCGATCTTTAACAGTACACAATATTTGTAATTTGCTTATTTGTTGAATATCTGGTTTAGCATACAAAAATTTTTCTTGTAACGGATCAATATCGATTGCAGGCGTTTTATCAAAATATTGTATGCCGTTGTTGCCGTTACTATTGTTATTGATTTGTGAACCATTATAACGAACTTTACCCTTATGATTCGTATTATTATTGTTGTTGTTACTATTCAAGTTAAAATTAAAGGTATCCTCTTCATTTGTATCCGTATTAAACATGTTATCATCAAATAATTGTTCTTGTTGTTGGTGGTGATGAGGATATGCAGACATCGTACGATAATCATCATTATTTAAATCAGTCTAGAACATAATTATGATTTATTTTTAGCATTAGAATCGAAGAAGCAAACAAAATTACTCTTCGGACGTCCGTCGTTGGTGCAATCATTGCAGGAGGTGAAGCGCCCGCTGGTGTAGAAAATAAAGGTTGTTTATGAATATTGCGATTTTGTCTAAAAATAAACAACAATTCCGAGTGAACTTAATGTTTATCCTAGTTCTAAACATCTTACTCATTATGATGATGATGGACATCACCGTTATGTAATTGATTCTCATTTGAAGAACTATGATGACTTGATTGACTTGAAGTATCCAATGATTCTTCGTGATCTTCTTCCTCATACTCTTCTGCCGAAATATCAACATCAGCATCATTGTTGAAAGCAGCTAAGAGTAATTCGACAATCTGAAAATAACAATCTCTCGTAGTTTAAATATTTTATTTTACTGTTATAGTTTACAAACCTCGTTTTGATTTCGAGATTCTTCATGATGTAAATCATCGTCAGGATCATTCTCCATTCCAAGTGATTCGGGTAAAATTAGACTTACGCCTGAATTATTATCCATAATAGAACAGATGATCAAATTTTAGACTTTTTGTCATCAATTTTTAAGCGTGTAGAATGAATTAACTATATTTAGAAGACAAAATAAATCTGGAAGAAATTTTTGTTTTATGAGTGTATTACTTTCGATCTGATCCATCATTATTACTCGTACTCAGCACAATAAACTTTATAGGTGAGATAAATAAACTAAAAGTGATAATAAACAAACTATTTGCTGCCAATAAACAAAAAAACTAAAGTGAAAACCTTGGTATATCTAATTAAACGCAATGTAAGTTTATATAAGCCAACAAAAAACGTGTTGTTCTACAAACAAAAGTATTTTTTTAGAAAAAAGCATGTGATAAACAAATAAAGAAGAAAAAACCGCAATAATTCAGGCCACATGAACGACGACCGTCCATCTTGTATCTAGACGGCGTGCCTTTACTCCTGCAAAGTAAATTATGTTTTTTCTACTTATATTCTGAAAAACTTCTGACTGGTAAGCGGATGATTGTAATAAAAACATCAAAGTATAATGGTACACAAATATATAAACATGTATTCTATATCTTTTAACAAGCACGGAGGTTTGTGTGTCGATACGACATGAACTTGAACATGATTATGGCTGGCAAAAAATTTACGTTTCTTTTCTTCATTCTCCTTCCATCACTAAGAAGTTCAATCAACTCATGGTAAAAAATGCGTCTGAATAAAGAACGTGGCACATCATCAAAACAATCATCACAACCGGATCAGCCAAATAGTAGCGTTCAACCGGAGAATGCAGAAACGAAGGCAACAACGTGTGTATAAGCAAATTTTCTAACTAAGGGATGATCAGCTTGCAAAAGTTTCAAATAATATACTTTTGAGGAAAAACTACTCCTAAATAGAAAATATATTCTTAATCAAAGTTCATAAAATGATTTCTGTTGTAAATTTTTATTCTTCTGAACTACTACTGCTGATTGATCATCCAACATCTCTTTTCTAGGACCGATTCAAAATCTCAATGGCTATCAGCACATAATGATTTTGTCGCTGGGCTTAATACAGTGTCAAGTTGTATGGAATTATCTGACTTATGGGGTGACGGATCCATAAATCTAATTCTAGCTGATTATGGAAACATTCTTTTACCAAAATTACAAGTTAAGCTTAAAGTTTTTAAAGGTTAGTCTGTTTTTCATTCTTCATTATCAGTATTAAAAGAGATAATTTGATTTACTTTTAGGATTTACCGTTGCCAAAGAAAGTAATCTGACTGATCTACCTTGTGCCGTAGTTGCTTGTTTCATGGATAATCTTCAACCTCGTGTTCCAGGTACCCGAATAATGCCGATGTTGTTGCGATTTGTTAGTTTAGAATTTCTTTTCTTTTTGTTAGCATTAGCTGTTGCTTCGGGATCTGCTGTATTTGTTTTCAAAAGTTTAAGACCGTATTATAAGTTTACTTTACCACAGCTAGAGATTCACGAAGTAGAAAAAGAAGTTTGGGCGAAAGCAAAAGAGGTAAACGCATTTGTCGGTATCAGTTTCTAGTATTTTTAATATGGATTATTTAGGGCAACATAGATGTTCGTGCAATGAACGGTGTACTAAATGAACTTAATCGGAGTAATACAGTTCCACTCACATATAAATCATTGATGTAAGTATGTAGCATATTTTTCACTTAATATTTACACGAAATATCTCATGTTCCCACTATTGACTTCTTGTCTGTGTTCACATAACATCTAAGCGCTTTTTATGATTGAAGTTTAGGTTTTTACGATTAGCAAGTCGAGATGAAGCACTTCAATTTGTAGAAGCATTTAAAAATACGGAACTGAAACGACAAGTAAGTAAAAAGATCTGTTGATACATTAGACAGAATTCACATTTATTTCTGTGTTTGGTAGAGTTCTATAACATGCATGAAAAAATTAAATAAAACTTCAGCCGATGAAGATGCTCTTAGCTGTTTGGTAGTTGGTACGGAGGACGCTAAAATCTATATTATTGAATCAGAAGCATTTACAATCTTAGCAACGGTAAGAAATCAATGTCCAATTTATTTTTGATTATTTATTTTCTACTTATTTTCAGATGAAATGTCCATCTCCTCCAGCTTATCTTAATGTTTCCGGGGTATACGATGTAGAATATAAAATTGTGGCGGCATGTAGAGACGGTTATCTTTATCAATTTAAACGGTGAGGACAAAAGATAACACAGAGAAAAAGGTACTTATTAATTGTTTTCACTATTGTCAGAGGTCATGAGGAACCAAAGGGAGCTATTTATTTGCATTCAATGGCTGTGGGACTGGAAAGATTTGGTAGAAATATTGTCGTTGGTTGCATGGATTCAACACTTCATTGTTATACAACGAAAGTATTTTAATTTTTTGTATTTTTTAAAAGTCTAGCACAAATAGAATGAAGTTTAGTCAATAATTAATTGATTATATGCATTGTTTTCATTTATAGGGAAAACGATATTGGAAACATTCATTACCATCGATTATTACTGCCATGTGTTTGATTGATTATAGACCAAAAGCATTTCAGGCTGTGGCAGTTGCATTAGGAAATAATGAAATACATTTGTATAAAGATAAATTTTTAGTTGATGTGATTCAAGTTGATGATGTTGTACATGCAATGCGTTTTGGACGTTTCGGACGTGAAGATGGAACGTTGATCATGATTACAAAAAGTGAGTTAAAGTTCATTAATCATTATAATTTATTTTCTGTTATTCTTTTGAAGATGGTGGTCTAATTGTGAAAATTTTGAAACGTACTGCAACATTTGAAGACACCGATGTACTACATGGACCTCCAAAAGAACAAAATATGAAAATTGATGTACCCAAGCGAACAAAATTATATGTTGATCAAACGCTTCGTGAAAAAGAATTAGCTGAAAGTAAGTAAAATATCTACAGATGTTGACGTCTTTGATGGCGACAATTACGAAAATAATTGTCTGTTTTGTCACAGTACGACTAAGTGAACATGCTAAAATTTTCTTTCTTTTAATAGCCATGTATCGAGTATTTCAACAAGATTTGATACGTCTGAAATTTCTTGCTGGTAAAGAGTTTCTAAAATCGATTCAATCCGGTTTAACTCCAGTGGCAAAAACTAAGACAGAAACAATCAGAATTAATGCTGAAGTATGGAACGTCGAAAAGAAGTCAAAACTCTTATTACTGTGTAAAAAATTGTTTTCTTTCTGAAAGGTACATGGTCTCGGACCAAGATTTAAATTAACTGTAAAACTGCAGAATACAGCGTCTACGATACCTGTAATCAATCTCTACTTATCTTTTATGTATGATGATAATATCTACAAACTAAATCCAAATTACATTGAAGTGAGGGTTATACTATTTCATATCACTATATATAAATCTTTACATGTTGGTTTTCTGTTATGTTAAGATACCTATATTAGTGAACGGAATGGAATATGGATTTTGTACATTTGTTAGTTGTATAACAGACAAAGTTATATCCGATACTGTGAAGGTAAGACAAATACTTAAAAATTAGACTATTTTTAATTGTTCTTTAATTTCAGGTACTGGTATGTCGTCGTGACACAAACACACCACTATTATCAGCAGTTATTAATATGCCTGTTGCAGAACCTATTCTCAATGTTTAGTATACTTTTCTTTTGCCATGTATCTTGTTGTGGTTTGTGCAATTGATACTAGTGTATTTTTTGAGTTACTTCTTTTTTCTCTGTAATATTGTTGTACATAACTTGATAGAATGTCTATTTTTATGATACTTCTGATGCTATAACAATGGAACATGAGAAATCAAGTGTACATACATCACGCATTCCCCGTGTGTGTGAACATTCGCTAATGAAACATGTTTTTTTTATAAATTTCCAATGTGGAATTTGTTTAAAAATATTTAGAGAGTAAGTTTCGAAAGTAAAAGAAAAAATGTTGACAATTATTCGCATATGTAAGTTTTTCGGAAATTTATTATCATTTGTGAAATTTTCGGAATAATCAACAGACTTTCTATACATTTGATGAGAATAAACCTTGAAATAATGAATGACACACGGAAATAATATTTGTGACACAGTTTATTATGAAAAATCAAAATTAGTTCGTCTAACGATGTATAGGGTCATATATTTTCTGTTAATTTTTCTGGTCATATAAATATAATGATGAGAAAAAGAAGAAAAAACAAGAATATTTTTTTAAACAGCTTGATAAAATATCGTCAATAACTCGAAAAATCACATATTAACCAATTTATTTTTTATAGTTCATTAAATTAATGGAAGATTATCAAAGCAAAAATAATAAATCAGTCAAACACAAGTTTATTGTTAAATGATTTATTTTGATCTGAGCAATAAAAAAGAATAAAAGAAGTGAATTGTGTATAGAGTGAATGCACAAATTTTCTTTTTACTTAAAATAGATAGAATAGAACTCTTTTGAGAATTAGACTATAGCATAGATTTTAATAGAATAAGAAATCTCTTCATATAAGGATCTTATCTGTACTGGCATGTCATAATTAATATTGATGCACCTTTATTGAAAACTGTTTTACAGTCAATTGAAAATTTGTGGTTTAGTATTAAATTGAACTCATTCTATTCCGTTATTCTATAACTTCATTTAGGTAATAGATTAATTTTATTTTATATGATGGTTTATATCATTACTGTTTCTCATATGTCCCTCCTCCTACACGAACATCAGACATATGATTTGTGTTTGAGGGAAAAAATTTGACTTAACTTTTGACAAACTGATAATTGATTTTCTTTATAACAGATACATATTTTTAACAGAATTTAGAGCTTCGAACGTTTTATCACTTTTATGTGTAATTTCAAATATCGGATTCAGTTGATAGGTGGAAACTACTAATCAAATATCACTGAAAGTTCAACTTGTTCATGGATGTTCATCAAGAACAAAAGAAATTAAAATTTCACCGCTTTTTGAATAATTTCAATAGCTCGAAAAAGTAACGATTTGACTGTTTTATTATTCAAGTCATATCTATCTCGCCTGCGTCTTGTTAGAAAGAAACTGAGACATTTTCTGTTTGAAATACTGCAATGTTCATACCGATTCCAATCATATTTGAATTCTTAATGTTTTCTCATTGAACAAATCATTTCTAGTATTCGATAGGTTATAGTAAAGTAAAGCATTCGTTATTCGAGATAAATGAAGAATTTTGAAATCAAACTTAATCAATATTTAGTAACTCGTGTGTTACCTTATTAAATGTAATTATACTGAAACAATCAAATGAATGTATATTATCCTCCGGAAACTAATCTTCGTAGATCAAAATGAATATAATGTTTGAACATACTTTTTTTTTTATTACAAAGTTCTATTTTACAATATTTACCTATCAATGTCAGTTTGTCTACAGATAGAATGAGTAATAAAAGAAGAGAATAATATATATTACCGACTGGACCGAAAACTATAAAAAAATTCATCTACGCTTGAGAGAAAGAAGAGAAAAAGATGTTTTAAGAACAACGATAGCCTTAGGAATACGACCTTTGATAATGGTTCATTGTGTCTCCGTGTTGTATTTATTAATCAGCACCTGATGGTATTATAATGCCCAAATCAGTTTATAGATAGTTATGTAAGAGACAAAACTTTTTTTGTCACAAAAATAGAGAGATAGAGAAAAATAGAAGAATAAAGACACGCACACATACACATACATCATCTTCAAATCGGAAACAACACTTAAACGTACTTTTTCCATTCATATCTGTTAGAAGAACTTTTTTCTTTTGAGGTATTCCGCTCTCTTTTCCTCCTCTTTTGATGTTGACATCTAAATTATTATTATTTTATTGTCATTCGACACAAAACGATGGACGTTGTTCATCGTATAACAGAACTTGGACATACGCGTTCATCATGGTTTTCATGTAGTGACGATGATAGTTCAAATAGATTAAATCATCGTTCAACAGTTGTAATATTGTTAATATTTTCAGCTATATTAACATCAAGACTATTTTTAAGTGATCTGATTGTATGTTGGACGCCTGGCGAATTTACGGGTAAAATTAATATTGATGTTGTATTTTCGGTGTTATATTCGTTATATGACAATTATTTTTATAATGAATACTATGTCAAAAATAGTAGAACAATAAAAACGAAGTATCAATGAGTTCATTATAACCATGCTTTAGTTGAAATAAACAAAATCTTACTTTAATAACAATAGATTTATATATATATATATAAATCATTCAGAACTCTTGATGATGATGATCTATTTTATAACTATGCGATGATTTTTATACATCAAAATAATAACTGAGAATAGTTTTGGCTATTGAACCTTTAGATCTAAAATTGACAACTTCTTTCAAAATTTATTCATAGTTTTACTATTGAAATATTAGATGTGAGTTTTCTTTTTCTAATTTGAAACTGATCTGAAATCAATTTGTAACAATAATTCAAATGTCTATGAAATAATTATAAAAAAATGACTTCTTTTTTTTTTTTTGATAGGAAATTTTGTATCATACACTAGACATTATTGTTATGTTCATAATACGTATTATTTAACGATGAATGAGACAATTTTGACATCATCAAATATAAATATGAAACGAAAACGTTCAATTTATTATTATCAATGGTTACCTATTTTACTTGCTATTCAATCCCTTGGCTTTTTAATTCCACGTATTATTTGGTCTAGTTTTAGTTCTCGATGTGGTATTAATATTCAACATGTATTATCACCCACCTATGATTATCGTACATGTCGTTATAAAGTTCGTCATATAACAACTATGTTAATAATGTTAGCTAAAGCAAAATATTATGATTTTAATCGCTCAAATCAACAACCAAAAACGTCATTTAATCATATTATAAAATCATTTAATATTTTTTGTCTACCATTTTTTTTTCTTAATGAAAATATTTTTCATGGATACTATTTAACAAATTTATTTTTAATCGTTAAATTATTATTTCTATTAAATTCAACATTACAATTATTTTTGCTTAATACATTATTAACAAAAAATGCTCTCTTCTATGGTGTAGAAGTTATTGATAATTTTCTAAGAGGAGAATATGTTGTTGGTTCAAAAATATTTCCGTTAACAGTTTACTGTGATTTTTCCATATCAAAAGTTGGACATCCAACATTGTATACCGTAAGTATTTGATAACTGCTTATTTCTATATAAGACTGAAAGATCATTTATGAAGAAAAAAAAAAAAAAAAATTGAAGAATTTTGAAAATACATAAGAAATTTTGTATTGACATTTGATTTGATGATTATTAAAACAAAAAATGGCTGTTAATCATGAAAAGTGTCAAAATCGATTAATAAACCGCACAATTCGATCCGTTTTTCAAAGATTACTCGAATGATGTGTAATATGTTCAAATTAGATAGAATTTTCAGTATGGTACTTTTAGATTAATATCGATGAATAAAATGTCTCCATTTTATAAAATAAACCATTGTTTTAGAGCTTTTTTTGAAGAATCACACATTAGCGAAAATATTTTTTCTAATTAAAAGAATATGCTTTTCACATCTCTGTATTTTGAGACATATAACATAGATTCTTAATGAGAAATACGAAATTTAACGTCAGTATGATAATTTGGTGCAAAAATTTTCGACTAATGCGAATTTAGAAAAGTTATTTCGAAAATTATCGAAACATTTGTTAAATATTTCTCCAAAATATAATTTCTTAGACATATTTAAATGGTAGAAACAGAAGAAGAATTTTTGTTTAGTGATGAAATCATTGTCAATTAATCTGGCTTGATGTCTATGTCGATATCCAAATGAAAACGAGAACGATGATCTTTTCTCAATGCATAAAATTTAGAAAATTTATTAAAATCCATTTAGTAGAGTAGAATATGCATAGCAAAAATACAATATGTTTTGAAATTGACTCATTTTATTTCTTTACATAGGTTCAATGTCTATTACCAATGAATGTATTCAATGAAAAAATATTTACAATTATTTGGTTTTGGTTGGTTTTTCTATCATTGAACAATATAAAAAGTTTATTTTTTACTATTTTACGTAGTTTATTTCGACAATTCAATTATGCTTATATTGCACGATATTTAGAATTATATTCTAAAAAAGAACGATTTAAACAAAATGTGTTAATCAAACGTTTTGTACTTGAATATTTAAATTCCGATGGAGTTTTGATACTACGTTTAATATCTGAAAATATTAGCGATTTATTGACAAGTGAAGTTGTCAATGCTCTATGGAATGATTACAAGACAATGAATCGTTTAAATTCAATAAATCGTGAAAAATATTATAATCAACGATTAAAAAATCTTGCATCGACAAATAATGGTGCTAATGTCAATAGTAATAGAAGATCATCGAATGTCTATCTCAGACAAATATATAAATAACCTTTTTTTTCTCGATCTGAACTTTTTTATGTGTAATAATATCTTAAATATCATTTTTTGCTAGACATATGAAAATTCCCTAATCGTCAATAACTCTAAACAAATAACTCATTTGAATAATCAAAATTCGAAAAGATATTTAATATGAAAAAAAAAATAATGAGATTTTTTATAAGCTTTACGATTTATTTTTCAGAATAAACAATGGAATCATCTTCAGTAGAGACACTTTATGAACTTCTATTCTTTTATGATGAATATGTCTAAGCTGAGAGTATTCAAAAATAGTTAAAGAAAGAGAAGAAAAAGACAGATTTAATATAGCATTATTCCCTAAGAGACAATAATAGAAAATGGAATTTTTTTTCTTTAAAAACTAATTCCATATTTAGTACAAGATTAAAATAGTACTTGCGTATTATATTGTCTTCTAAGACGAAACATGAAAGAAATCTATACGGCTTTAGAAATTAACAAAATAAACAAAAAGGACTGACTCACAGCAGTCTCAAAATAAAAGAACTATAAAATTAATATTTTATTTGTTCAAAAATTTTCAAGACTTGAGTTGTTTCTTGTTCTACTCTGAGTTTCATAGATCACAGATGAATTGCTGTTTTAGATTGTGATGTGACTCGTACTGATGTTGGCCTTTTATACTTAAAAATTACATTGGATGATATATCAGCAGTACTTTACATCTTCTGTTTCAATTTCTCAGAAGGTTATTCTAAAATTTTCTGATTTTTACTTACATAGGGTGATCCAAAAGTTCTCGGAACTATTAAAACATTATCCAAGGAAAACAGGTTCGATTTATCAATCTACCGCAAATGTTGGAGGTCATCAACGCGATGTTCGATACAAATTTGCATTTTCTAAATCCGGTTTTGAAACGTCTTTTTTATATTCATGACCAGTATCGAATTCAGAACCTTGGTTATTGCGACAATTCAATTTTTTAGTTAAATATTAAACCTTAGAAGTTTGAAAGTAGTGTACAGCCATTATTTGACATAATCAATGGCGATGAGATGCACATTTACGATCGCATAACTGAATAACAAAATCATGGTTAGCAGGAAAGGAAAAGTCCTCCAACTATCGTTAAAAGGCAAAAATACGAAAAAGCAACAACGTCGATCATCTTATTTATCGCAACTGGACCACTTGTTCATCGAATACAATCTGAGGGTACCAGTTAATGCTATTGATTATTGATGTATAACACCACTAGTTAAAAAGTTACCAAACAAAACATCAACATGAGGAACGAATGTTACCAAATTCCATCATGACATGTACAACTACATGTGAAAAACATTGTTATTAACTATCGTAAAGATAGTATTGTAAAGCTTCACAGTTAAACGTCTTTGTAGATATTCTAAAAAAGTAAGTTAACATTGTATTGTTTTCGAAATAAGGCACTAGTTTTCTCCGGACAAAATAGTATTAAACACGTATCAATTGAGGAAGTTGAGAGTACGTATGCATAGGGATGTGCAGTTTCAGTATACTGAACACCGACAGAATCGACAGTGACACCAGTGTAACATTGGCTCTACTCTCATCGGTGTTCACTGACACTGTGACTACACTGGCACTGACGTCACTGAAACACTGACTTATAGTCTCGTCGGTTTTCACCGAAACTGATTACACTAACACTGCAACACTGACACACCGGTGCTAATGTTCTTTGATTATAGTTTATATACAGCACACTCCTTCGAAAAAAATATCTGTAGGGTGATACAGGGCTAAAAAGCCGCTCGCAAGATCAAACATCATTTCTACTAGCGTACACCCTCCTAGAAAAATTTCTAGCTACGGACCTGACCACAGCGGAAAATGAAGTCCTTGAATCGATTCGAAATTTCATTATTTTTGGGTGGGGAAGTAATTTTGTAGCACTTTGAAACGCTTAAACAAAAAGTGCAGTTGTATATCGCAATCAAAAAAGAATATTAATATCTAATAGAATCGCTATGAATTGAAAGACAATATATATATATTTATATAAAAACTAGAAATGATAAATTCCTATGATGTTACTGTTATTATTCGAAATTATAGATCAATCTCAAATTTAGGCTTTTTGAGAGGCCATATGTTCTCATTTCATTTCAACACTTTACTTGATGACTATAGGGTGAAGCGCATAGCGTCTTTACTTTGATTGAGTCAGTGTCTCAGTGTTGCAGTGCCAGTGTAATCAGTTTCGGTAAACACCGTCGAGACTATAGGTCAGTGTTTCAGTGACGTCAGTGCCAGTGTAGTCACAGTGTCAGTGAACACCGATGAGAGTAGAGCCAGTGTTGCACTGGCGTCAGTGTCGGTGGTTTCGGTGCCAGTATTTCAGTGTTTCACACTGACACTGCACATCCCTACGTATGCGTCGATTACGGTTCTAACTCCTAGTGACAAAGTCCGTCATAACTGAAATTAAGAAAAGCCGGCATTAGTTCTTTGGACAAGATTAAGGTACTCGATATTTGCTGATGATCAAGTGCAGATGAACCTGGTTATGCATTACAGGCAATGAAAACTAATCGCGCAGGTTTTGATTTCAGTAGAAGCGATACAAAATAAAACCAATTAAACGAATTGATATATCCCGTTTTGTAGCCTGTGTTACTGTACTACTCAATAGCACAAAACGAGCTTTTCAAAACGTTTTGCCAACAGTGATAAATTGAATATATTCGCGGACATCAGTCTCAGCTATTTTATTAAGTTTTGACTCATCTTTATATAAGTTTGAGCGTACTATGACAGTGAATTGAATATGGAAAACAAGACATGTAACTCATGTGACGTATTCAACCCACCTTACTCTTTCGACGTATGACTTGTCAGTTACCCGATAGACTAAATAAATATATAGATGTAAAAAGTTTAAGTAAAGTAATAACCAAAGTACTGAATTCGATACTTGTTATGAATATAAAAAAGGACGTTTAAAAAGCGGATTTAGAAAATGCAAATTTGTATCGAACATCGCGTTGATGGCCTCCAATGTTTGCCGTAGATTGATAAATCGAATCCTTGGATTCCTTGGATAATGTTTTAACAGTTCGGAGAACTTTTGGATCACCCTATATATTTACCGTATTACTCATTATTTCCTGAATTTTTTTTTTTTAATTTTGTGTTTAAGTGTTTTTCTTGCTCTACAGTCCATGTTTTATTCATTAATCAAAAAGTGTGCGGAGTTTGAGATTGTGTATATTTCAAATTTTTCTAATTATGTGCGGAGCTTGGGCATGAATACATTAGTGACGTACTTGTCCCACATATATTCTCGCAAGTTTGTCTAACGTTCATGGAATTTTTTGCAAGTGAATAAGGTATTTAAATCACTTCAAGATATTCACTTTCACTTCTTATCAAGTGCTCCACGCAAGTGCAGGTCACAGTGGATACATCACATCCAGCTTGTCTAGATAATAAACACAGTACCGAATAATGGATATTTAAGATATATCTCGATTTCTTTCTTATCACGCACATGAGTACGTTTCTCTGGCTTTTGTTTTTGTTATTTTCTTCGCGTGAAATGGAAACGAAATGTACCGATGTCCGAGATGGGAAAGAAATCGAAATATATCTTCAATATTTCTTATTTGAGATGGCTCTAATATAAATGAGGTTTCTATTACCAGGATTTATATTTTTAAATATCATCATATTTTAAAGGTCATTTTCATATTAGAGATGATTAAAATAAGACGTTCGTTTCTGTTCTTTCGCATCGCTTGCATCAATCTAAAAGCACGTGTGTGCCAGCAACACAGAAGAAAGAAACAAACTTCATATTTCAGTCATTTCTGTGACGTAAACGACACATATACTACATCCAATCCGACTGAAAATGCTCTTAATCTCAGAAATATTGCACTAAGCTCGCTTGTGATCATCACTGCAGTTGAGACAAAAAGTGGATAATGAAGTCTTTTACGTGAAATGCATTTTCGATACGAGTTCTACTTCTACATTCTATGCTAGATGCCAGCTTCTTTTATCGTCGCAATCTACCTTGTATTTTCTGATCGAATTTTGGCCGTTTCAAACCATTATAGTCGCATAAAGATGAAAGTAAAATTGTTCAGTTTTTGATATGTTTCAGCCTTACATTATAAGTACTGATAGAAATTACATAACTGTTAAAAGATGATTTTATTTTTCTCATTTACGACTATATTTTTCTGCGTTATTACACAATAGAAACTACTAGTTGAATAATAACATGAATTTCAATTTTATTTTTTTAAACTTTATTTATTTATTGATGAAACAAATAGTTATAACTAAGACAGGTTAAAAGAGAGCAAAGCCCCGTTATTATCGTCCTGCCTAGCCAATAAAAATGTAAAAAATACCAAGGAAAATAGCAGAGAAAGAATGCAAATACATAAGAAACAGAAAGAAAAAAAAGACATCAACGTATTTCTTGATATCATAAACTAGTTACCAGAGTCAAATTCTAAACGAATCTATACCATGTCCATATTTAGTATAAAACAGTAGTTCTTGATATCGGAAGTGATGTTTGGTATCGTTATAGTTTCAAATCTTTCCATGATAAACAATGTTTAATTGTAGATAATTAGGTCAAGATGCCAATTGAAGGTTTAACAGTTGATAGATTAGAATTTTTAACTCAAACTTATTCAACGAGTCTTTCGATATGGAAAAAATATGTTAAGTTATGTAAACAATCAAATATTCTTCCAAAAGACTTTTTGCATGACATTGAGCTCTACAAAAATAATGAAACATTAGAGCAAACTCATTTCTATTTTGGTGTAACAACGATTGTGGATCGAATTCAACAAGAAATAATAGATCAGTTTCGTGAAATATTAACTGAAAAACAACTAGCCAAGCCATCGAAAACGGTGCAATTAAAAAAATCAAACAGAAAAGTGTGTGCCAAATGTGGTCAATCAGAAATTGTTCATATATTTAGTAAGGCGTGCGATAATAATACAATTATTTATCCAAATGGAAAAGAGCAATCGGGCTATTTACCTGAAATACCTGGTCTATCATGCAGCGATGGTTTAATGATTGATTTGTGTGTGCCCTGTGGATGCCTCATTGGATATGATGGTCAACAATGTCAACAGCTGCTAAATGAAAGGAATGAAGATGAAAATGAAATTTCATCGATGTTAGAACTAATTTCTAGCGATGATGAAGAAAATGAATGATGGACTCGGTTGTTATTTTCCTAACTTGTAATACAAATTATTAAAGTAAACGTGAATATAGGTGCAACATGCGATTTGAGTTACAAAGCATAAACGACGAGTATTACTTATAAAAAATATAGTAGTTTATGTCGTTATTCGCGCTTTAAGCAATTCATTTCACCTCATTGAAAATATTTTTCATTTATTCGTTCAACATAATTTATCATCTGATTTTAGTCTAATAAGTTTAAATATAGGTCAAACAATTTAATTAATAGTAATTAAACTCTCAATTCACTATAATTTTAAAATTTGTTATCTGTTGAAATTTCATACTGTATAATACCTATTAACTTTCACTCAATTCATCCTACTATGGTTTCAGCTATTTTTCTATTAACATTATCATTTGCCTATCTTCTTTTGGGTACATGTTCACAGTTTGGCATGGTATTGTTGATTAATAATCCTGTACTAAAATCAAACTGGTGTCATTTATCATTTTGGATTGTCATTCAAGCAATATTTATATGCATCTTCTTCCTTAGCGGATTTCGTAGAGATCATTTCATATTCTTATGGCCTGTAAGTATAATCTTCTTAGATATAACTTATTTATTTGACTATTCGTTGAATTGTCGCTTATAGTTTTTACTATCATTACTTCTCCACATGGCAAGTAATTTTTATCACATCATGAATCTTATTGATATAAATACGTATCATTCAGAAGATATTCAACAATTTTTCGATTATTGTTCAACCGATATGACTGATGCATCATTTTTTGATCATAAACTATTAAAAATTGTACAGCGCTGTACATGTTCGAAACGAGACGATGGAACAATAACAACGAATATGTCCTGTGCAAAAGTGAAATTATTCATTGAATTAATTCAACTAATGCCATTTATTAGTGTTCTTTTAGTATTAGCTGATTTTTATATATTTCTACTTGTTTTCTTCGTGTATGTTTATGAAAAACGTTCATTGATCGACTATTTACCAATGCCAGATGAATATGACATTGCATGAATTCACACACTCGTCATGTTATTACGTTTAAAATAAGTTTTTTGAAAAACAAAATCTGGAAAGAACCCTATTATTATATAGATGTGCTGTTTTACTATCATCATATGATACACTTCTAATAAATTATTTTTTTTCAATTGCTAATTTTTCTGTACACATATGACCAGTTTATATCTACAGTTTCACCCATTAGGACTATAAAAGAGTATTGCTTTCGTCATTATCGAAACAAAACTTATGATCAGTAAAAGAGAATAAAATTCTATATGCGTTAAGAAATAATACGAAGTTAATCTATTTTATTTCTTATCAAAAGATTATTAATCTTTGAAAAATGACTTTTTTTTAGTTTTAGTAATCCATAGAGGTCTTTATTCAAAATGACTTTTTTTAGAAAAAAAAATGTTTCATTCCATTTTCTTCAAGACTTGGTTTTTAGATAGTTGTTGATATTTTAATTAAAATGATTTCTGTAAAGTACTTTGTCTTATATCTGCTACTTATTAACAAGACTCAATCCGATTCGATAATTAATGATAATGACCTTATTAATGCATTGTTATTGGCGTTAAAATTTTATTCTGAAAACATTTTTAATGTGAATTTAGACGCCGCTATTGGTCTACGAATTGCTAATGATCAACTAACTAGTCAATTAAATTCTATGATATGTTCAAATAATCTTACAAATATTGTACTTAGTATGATTAATTTTAATGATCACCTAATCAATTTAATAATTGAATCTGAAACAAATACACATCCTTATTACCTTCGACAATTATTATCAATTCTTCAACGTGGCACATTTTCTAAACTTGTGCCATTTACTACATTTTCTGCGAATGTCTTTTATAGTACAAAGTCTGTGAAATGTTCATCAACGTTTATCGAAAAACGTTCGGATCAATGTTTACATCAACTGTTTATCACATCACACCAGTGTGAACTGAATATACCATGTATGATCTATATGAGCAACTACACCAATACATGCAGATATTCTCTTACACATCAAATATTATACTTTATTGTTGTTACATCACCGTTTTCGGCTTGCAATAATTATGTACAAAAACAATTCAAACAAGTCTTTGGTTATTCTATTGAAATGGCTTTAGAACAGATGCTGAATCAAATGTTAGTTGAGTCAACTAATATAGCTGACAATCAATTCAATGAATCAGATCGAGATTTGTTTCTTGAACAAGTAGCATTTGGTCTCATGCTTGGGAAAGCCGATTTCTTTCAACCAGCTTGGTTGCAAGAGATTATTTCATGGCAACATCATGAAGGTTGTTACGGGAACGATACTGTGATTCAAGCGAGACGTGAAGAAAAAATAATGGCTAATTATTGTTTAAGTCATCGAACAAGTGTGGCAATAGTAGCACTCGCCGAAATGCTTCGTTATCGAATAAGTTTTCTCTGCAGGTCTGTTACATTTTCTTACGTTTAAATACGGTTTTAAAATATATTTTAATTGATTCAAATATAGATTATAAAACAAAGTCACGGAGATATGGATGACAAACAAAGATTGATAATCACTAGACCTAGATTGGATTGATTTAAAAATATGATTTGGTTTAATTCGAAGGACAAACAGTATTACTATCGTTGATACTCGTACTTGCCGAAATAGTTATCAAGAGTAGTTTGTGCTTGACAGAAACCTTTTCATTTTTTGCGTTTTTAGAAAACAAGATTACTGCTTTTCGAAAAATCCTTAGCATATATTTTGTCGATTCCATTATATAAGCCCTTTTCAGAACAAAGATACTTTTAAACATTGGTTGAACAAGATCATGGTTCATGATGGCCGCTGCTGCAAAGACAACCACATCAAAAATTGCCACAGAAGGAATTACATCAGAAAAGGCCACCATGGCTCTCTCATTTTTTCGGCCAATTAGCACATTGTTGCAATAATAGTGTTTCGGGTAGTGATAGTAATAGTCTACTGAATCGTTATCGTCACCACCGAAAAGTCAACTCTATTTGTAGAACACAGCATGAAACAAGCACCAATGATACAATCGCTCTTGGGTATCCGTATTCTTTCTCATTTCAGCGTTCTCACCATCACCATACTCACTAACTGACAAAAAAAATGCACAAGTTTGGATTCCATCGATGTCCAATATGAAAAGTAAGAATAATGTTATTAGGTTGAAATAGCCTTTTCTCACATATTGAGATGAGCTAGCGATTCTTTATGAACCGTCGGCGTCACACATAAACGTCGTTGTACATATTCCAGAAAAATAAGTTAACATTGTATTGTTTTCGAAATAAGGTACTAGTTTTCTCCGGAGAAAATAGTATTAAACACGTATCAATTGAGGAAGTTGAGAGTACGTATGCATCGATTACGGTTCTAACTCCTGGTGACAAAGTCCGTCATAACTGAAATTAAGAAAAGCCGGTATTAATTCTTTGGACAAGATTAAGGTACTCGATGTTTACTGATGATCAAGTGCAGATGAACCTGGTTATGCATTACAGGAAATGAAAACTAAATTTCATTTTCTTGCTACTTTCCTTTTCCATACACATAGTCTTTACCTGTCAACAAAATAAAAGAGAAAAATAAAATATTTAAAGAAGAAACTCACTGTCATTTTGCATATAGACACAATTACATGTAGATACCCTCATGAGGGTATCCACATGTTGAGGCCTCATCCTCAGTAGAAAGAAGACAAGAAAAATTAACATCGCTGAAACAGCTCGATTGGGATATACTTCTACACTGCATGATGGGCCATTTTTTGAAAACTCTGTGACCGCGCAGGTTTTGATCCCAGTAGAAGCAATACAAAATAAAATCAATTAAACGAATTGATATATCCCGTTTTGTAGCTTTAGTTCATAATTCTGATCTGGTTTTAAGTTGATGAAGAAACAATTGAGTAGGGGCAAGAGACTGATATCTTGGCTAATCGATCGGTTAAGCCGGATCCGTAGACCAAACTACAACAAGTTGATCAACCTAACCTATAAACTAACTAATTGGTCAGAGCGTCCAATCATCTGTGCACATGGTCTAAGTATAGTATTCTATCGTATGTAATTGACTGTGCTCAAAATGTTTTCTCTTTCGTTAAGAAAAAGTTCTGAGTACTGATTGTTTTATCCTAGAAGAAACTTGTCAGTACTCAAATCTCACAGCAATTTTCTCTTTCATTTCCCACTGACGCACACACAGTAGCGGCGAAACGCATGTCAACTGTTAGATCCTTAGAGTAATGATTGCTAACGACTCCTGGCTTTGTATATACACAAAACGAAGCCTGTTTAGTAATCCAACTGACTCAGCACAACAATCGAAAAACAAGATCTGATTCCACCACTATCCTTGCATTATGTACCGACATGGATCCAAAGACACACGGTGGTTTCTTTTCGCCTCTACTACTGTTCTGTTGGATTGATATGAGATATTTCCCTTTTTTCTCTTCTGTTCGTTTTGGTGAATCAACTCGCTGTCATCATAGAGAATAGAACAGTAGTTAGGGTTTTCGATTGTTCTTGGGGATGGGAGGGGTTAAAGACTTTGCTTCGCAGAAATTGGCTGGCGAAAAAAAGTTGTCGATATTTTTGGCAGAAAGTCCACACATTTTTTTAGGAAAGGGCCAGCACCCTTCTGCTCTCCCCCAGATCGAAAATCCTGACAGTAGTAGAGGAAAAAAGAGAGCATCATGTGTCTCTCGTGACAGAGATGCGCAATTTGTTGGCTAATTGGACGTATAATAAAAATTTCTTTATTTTGTACTGGTCGACTGAAATGCTTGAACAGATAAATATGAAAATTGTTATAAGTTGGAGAATATTTTCTTATAGCGATGTGATGATTTTTTTGCATTCGAGACGTAAGGCATGCGAGTGATTGTTACCAGCTATGATCATCAAAAAACGTTTCTCGAACAGCAGCCGGAAACAAAAAACCTCATTCAATCTCTGTCAATCATATCGCTCACTAGAGTAAGCAATCAAACTTGTTCTATTAGATCAAAAATTCGGATCGCTCCCGTAAAACCAGAAAGTCGTAATTGTCTCGGACTACCCACAAGAAAAGCGAGGGTGATTGTTTCGCGAATTCAAAGATTCTTAACAGAAGGCGCGAGCATTGTGAATGAAGATCCGCCGAGCATTCGATCTCGAGTAAATGTACGTTTGACCATCAAATTTTCCAGCATGATCTTACATTTTCATTTCTCAACAAAGTATAATGTATAACACAAGCGTATTCACTGAAGTATTAACCAAATGAACAATATTTTCACAGTTTTATATATATCTATTTACAAATTTAAAGCTGTGCTAACTTGGGAGGCTCTTTTGCTTTTCGTTTGCCTAATGGTTGAATACACTAGAAAATCATTGAATGTATCACTGGCTAGATATTTATCGTTCTCGTCAGTGGCTTACATTCAATGATTTTCTGGTGTGGCAACAATCCTGTTGACCTGTTGTACCATTAGAATCATGTAGCTGTCCGATTGGCATGAAAGTATATTCTTGTGAACATTCTGTTGGGTTAGCAATTTTATTTAACTTGTACCAAGTTAGCGATAAAACACGTATTCAGCCATCAGCCAACAAAAAGCAAAAGGGCCTCTCAATAAAGTTAGCACAGCTTTAAAGTTGTAAACACCCAGGTCGAAGGTCTACGGCCGTAAACTATAGTATAGGTCGAAATACGACGAAATACATATCCATTCCAGATAAAATACGACATCGTAATCCTTATCCATGATAGACGTCATCGTATTTCGTCGTAAACAGCTCGTATTTTGACGTATATTACAGTATCCATCATCATAAACTGTAGTATACTGTCATTTGTCGCTGTAGTAATCATTGTCCTGGGTAGATATAAATAAAACTGTGAAAATATTGTTCATTTGGTTAATATTTCAATGAATATGTATCATGTTGAAAAAGTTGGTGATCAGAAGTATCTTTTTTTGGTAGTCATTTATATCTAAAAATGTTTGGTGATCAAAAAAATTGATACCCTTCGATTGTCACTAAGAGCATCAACAAGGATAAAAATTCGGATCGCTCTCACAAAACCAGAAAGCCGTAATTGTCTCGGACTACCTACAAGAAAAGCGAGAGTGATTGTTTCGCGAATTCGAATGTGAGACATTTGAAACAGTTATTTTTTGAGAGAAATGCTTCTATCTGGACTACTATTTTATGTCGTCTGGTTCGACGAACGTCTCACACTTTTTGTTCTAAGCCTTCCACTTTCTTGCTTTAAATGCCGAACACCTAAAGAATAGAGACTTCGTGTCGATCAGAGAAAAGGTTTGTCTACAGCTTTTACACATCAAATCACATCACTGTGCATTCCACAAGAACCAATAAAAAATGTGAGAAGAACTACTGCCTGATTTTTAACAAAAACAGAACAAGAAACCGTTTTTCTTTTATCTAGATTATATTATAAAAACCCCTCAGAGTTATATGTTTTAATAGGAGAGCTGGGTTTTTAATGAGAGGGTGAGAGGTGGGTACAATTATGTAGATACGCATGTAAGATCTTTTCTGTTTTTCACGTTTTTTTGGACGAAAAAACATCTGAAAGCAAAATTATTTTTAAAAAATGAATCGGTAAAAGATCGTAAACATCAGCCGATCGAAGAATTTAATCGGATCGGTTGTCGGTCAATCGGCTGATCTGGTTACAACTCTGTGATTTGGTATATGTCGTGGTATTTAAGGTCCCCCTCAAACTCGCTGGGCGGGTCACTTTTGCCGGTTGATAGCCCTGAAAATCCCCTACAGGAATATGTGTGAAACTTTTCAAAAAGTGTTTGTATTTTTGTGCAAAAACATTGTTTACAAACAGCTCCATTTGGCTGTTTTTTCAGCTTTTTCATAAAGGGTTATGGCAGTCGGTCGGAACATTCGAGTAAGCACAGCACATGTAGAGCACACATTTCTCTACACATTACCACCAATCACAGATTTGTACGACCTTGTTTAGCTCTAGTACATTTATTCTGCTAAGAGCTCCAAAACTGCTGTGATGACCCATTCTTTGTTTATCTGAGCAAACGGAGAAAAACTACTATTACGCCGAAAAACTATGTAGTCTGACCATTTTTGAACTAGAATTTTGAAAGTGGCCTCATTTGCAAGAGGAGACAAAGCTGCATAGTTAAACTTATCAACGTTTTGAATTTCGATTCGTAGACTTAGTTATTGAATTTTCCAGTTCTAAAACTTTTAGTATTTTTCAAATATTTCGTCTTCAAAACCGGTGCGCTTAACTGTGGAGCTGACGATCTCTATCGAATGAAATAGATTCTGTCTCGATATCCCAAAATTTGGAATAATTTGTATAATGTAATTTGATCATTATAAATTCTGTTGAGGAGTTATCACAGTGTCTGCTATGGCATTAAATAGAGTAGTAGTAAAGAAACACTCTTTTCTTAAAGAGTGAAGTCTTATTCAGGAGACAGAAATAAAGGACGACAAATACGTGGTAATCAGCGTATACTAATACCGAAAGTTAGACCTGAGCAGCTATTAGAACATGAGTTATAATATGTGTGTTCCACCACACTGTAAACAAAGGTATTCTCGAAAACTTAAAAATGGTTTTCGAAAATGTTACTATATGAAACCTTTTTGGGTTTTCGAGACTACCTTTCGAGAATGTTTTCGAACCACCGAAAACGCTTTTCCTCTTTGCATACCCCTTCCTATTCGGTGTAATTTTATCCTCAAAAACCCTTAAAAAAGACTTTCGTGAGTTCTAATACACTTTCAAAAACCTTTCTTATTTGGTTTAAAAACTTGTTCTCGGAAACCTGTTCAGGCTCGGTTTCCGTAAAGAACTTCTACATAACCTTTTTTCCTACAACGTATGATTACTTTCGGACACGCACCGGGTTTTTAATCGGTTAACTGGAACCGACCATAACCGATATAATCGCGAAAAATGTTTTTATTTGCACACATTCTTGAAATTAAATATGTTTGAAACAGTATGAAGGAAACATCTGAAATGTTTATCCTAGAGAAAAAATGTTCAGAATTGTACGCTGCACATTCTCAGATTAGATGTTTCCTTAATACTGTTTCAAACGTATTTTCAAGAATGTGTGCAAATAAAAACATTTTTCGCGATTATATCGGTTATCGTTCCAGTTAACCGATTAAAAATCTAGTGCGTTGTGGGAAAAAAGGTTACGTAGAATTTCTTTATGGAAACCGAGTTTGAACAGGTTTCCGAGAATGAGTTTACAAACGGTATATCAGTTAACCAAAATTGTTGTATGCCTAATCACTTTCTTATAGTGGGGCATAACAATGCAAATGATAACGAATGAAGAGTATTTTTTAAACTTTTTGACGCTAGTATGTATAGGATGCAAGAAATTAGATATTTTTTGATGGAAAAGAGAATTACTATCATTCTGCATTCGAATCAAAAATCAAGACAGTATTATTTTCCAAAACGGAACAGGGTATCCGAAGGTATTCGAGAACATCGTTTCGGGTAGGAGAAATTTTTTTTGTTTTTTTCCAATGGTTTTCGAAGGTTCAGGTACCCTACATGTATTCTCGAATACGGAAAGAGGTTTTCAGGAACATTCCGAATACGAAAAAGAGTTTTCGAAGCCTCTGGGGTTTTCTAGCATACAGTTCTTTTTAGAGTGTAGAACACGTGTAAGTTTAAAAACGTTTCACAATAATAAACACATTTATGTTCGTGTTCTTTTTAGGAAAAAACGAACTTTAATAAATCTTGACGGACAAAATTTTTTCCCACGAACGTTTGATTTCTCTCGTTCATTTCTCTTTGACAAAAACATGTTAAAACACCGAAAGAAAGAAATCATTTAGATTGATTTAGTTTGAGTTGTTTCCACAAACGAAAAACATTTTATTTTACTTCTTCGTTATTCGTCGTTTTGATTAAAGGTTTAGTGTAATACCATGTTCGAAATTAGCAGGCAGTAACAGTTTATCTTAGTTCAAGTATGACTGACTGTATTCTATATCGTTTATTTATTTATGTACAAAAATATTTCTAACACTTTTGAACAAATTTTTCTATAACATCACGAAAAGATCTTTGTAGACTATTATATTGCTTTGAGATATTCGCATATACCCTTGAATGTCTCAGCACCTTTGAAAAAACAGGTAAACAAATTTTTACAATATGAAAAAGTATTATTGTTACTATTTTCTCACTTACCAACTTTCTTTATTTCATTAGTGGGTAAAATAAATCCTGAGCCACCTGTTGGAGGTAATTCAAGACAATAAGAATATTTAATATTTAATGTACCTCTCGTCCAATCTTCAGATCCGCCAGAAGCAACATCTAAAAAGAAAAGTTGAAATGGATAATTTTATTATTTATAGATTTGCATATTAATCATTGATACAAACATAATAATACTGCTGATGAACCGATTGTGTAACTTCGACCATTAACACTTTTGAGTGCATCAGCACCAATTTTTGCTTTATTAACCTAAGGGATTAAATATATAATTAAAAAAATGTCATTTTCTTGTTAGACTTAATACGTACCAATTCAGTATACTGAGGAGGAAGAGTGTCAGTGTATCCCCTAAAGCGACGTAAAATACAGAGTAAAGGTGTGCAAATGTATGAACTTTGTAGCTGAATCTGATCTGATAAAAAACTTTTCGCCCGTTTTCCGCTAATTTTTGTGAATTCTGACAAATTTAAAGAAAAATGTCGAAGTTATGTGGTTTAACTGCTTTAATGATTCAAACGTTGTCGCGTACATAAGTATGTATTTTAGGCTAGATCTATCATCAGAAGGACAAACAATTAGTCATCGAGGTATCATTTACAAAAAAAATTGTAGTATATTTCCGAATCGGAGCCATATCTCTAATAAATACAGATAGAGTATGAGCATGCTCTCTCTGATATAGAGATGGGCAGCCCTACTCGTACCCGTACCGACCCGAAAACTGGGTACGAGTACGAAGCTGTTGGGTACGGGTAGGGCAGTTACGTCTATTTTTTTAATTTCCCCGAAAACTGGAAGGTTCTAGTAGAAAACCCACAAAACTTTAGTAAAGAAATACAGAAGTTTAGCTAAAATACATGAAGGTTTAAAAAAGAATTACTTGAGAACGTAATGATAATTTGACATTTTCAGTCGAAAAACAAAAGTTTTTAGCTGGAAAACAAAAAGGAGAAAACTTTTAGGCATAAGTCGGATACGGACACGAAAATGGTATCCGTGTACATCTCTACTCTGATATACTGACGATTTATTGATCAACAGCTTAGATTTAATAGGAAAAAATGATACGTACCAGTTTGTAAACCACCATTGTCCATAACTATGAAATGTTAGATAACTGTCCCATGTTTTGCCGGTCATGTACGATTGCATTGCTTTCGCTTCATTTTCACTCATTGGAGAACCGCCATGATATGTTTCTGAACATGGAGATGCCGATGAACCCCCTAACAGAGAATAAAATTTTATCATCAAGCATAAAATTCTTGACCAACTTTCTACCTGTATTCCACATATAGCCAAAATTACGATTCAAATCTACACCGTAGCAATTACTACCAACAGGTTTTCTGTTTTTTCTCCACATACGATCCTTTATGGTGAAAAAGTTTAAAAATTGTCTAGTATGTAGAAATAATGTTGATATTTCATACTTTTGAATGTGTATAAGCATATCCATCAGGATTTAATACTGGTACAATATGTAACTTATAAGTATCCATAATTTGTTTGGCGTTACCACCAGCCGAATATTGTGTTAAAAATTCGTTAATAAAGAATAGACAAGTAGCAGGTGAAATCCATTCCCTAGCATGTATGCCACAATCAATAAATACATTTCGACGTGCCAATGATGATCCTATCTAGATTAGTAAATGGATGTATTTTTACTTAAACAATATATTAGTAGTGTAATAAAATATTTATATTCAGTCACAATATTATTTGACGTCTACCGACATTTGAGAAGGCTAATGAAACGTACAATGAGAGTAAATGAAAAAAAAAATAGCATTACAAACGTTGGTTTTTTTTTTGTATTATAAAACTGAATTAGAATTTTGTAATTTTATTATGATGAGGCAGAAGAAATCGAAAGTGATGAAAAAAATAGAAAATTGACTTTAGGCTACAATTTATTAATACAACTGTAATTTAGTCAAATTATTTTGCTGTAAAGTTTTATTTTATTCCAATATCAGTTATAATCTAATTTTAAAACAAGAATACATACCTTCATGAGAAATATATCTCGATTTTCAGCTGTTTTTCCAATTGATTGAATACTTGACATACTCGGATATTGACTGTTCATTTTTCTTAAGTAAGTCTCGATCTACTTCATAAATAGAATAGAATTTCTAACAAATTAAATATTGAACAGATAATAATGAATATACCTCGTTAAAAGTCAAATAAGTATCCGTAACACTACGTATACCCGAACGTGATTGAATATTTAACATTTTCTCTTCGCTATTTAACAATCTAAAAACATAAGATTACAAGAAAATTTCTTTTTTAACGATATATAATTACTAATTACTTTTGAACATTATCAATGGTTACTACGGGCTTCATGTCAAGAGAATTAAATAGTTTGATCCATGATGATTTATTATACTGATCAATCATTATATCAACAGATGCATTACGTCGTATTTCATTCCAAATATTAATCTACATTTAAAATATTAATTTATAAAAATAAATATTCGTTATAAACGAAAATGTAACACATACCTCATTTTGTTCTTCTAATACTGATAATAATTTATAATGTGATTCTTTAAATGGTATTACGGATAAAACACTCTTCCTACATAAAAGAATAAATCTAAATTTTTATTATATTTTTATCTTCTTGTATTAAACAACTTACCCATCATAACTCTTTTTTGATGTCACTTGTACAATGATACAATCAATAATATACAAAAGAGGTAGCATTATTTAAATTTTCCTACTGATATTCTTTTCAATTTTTCTCAATACTCGTACATATATATACAGTTTTATCAGTTATTCAAGCCTATTATGGTAAATGTATGAATTAGCCTATTAAATAATTTATTTTGAAAAAAAAATAATGATAAAAATCCTTGACAAAGAGTGCAAGTGTTACATGAAAAAAATAATATGAAACATATATACAAGATATATTTAAATGTTTGCACAGAAACAACGTTTAATTTTGATTAAAAAAATAAGTATTAGAGTAGATTAAAATAAAAGAAACATAATTATTTTCAATGTCATATCATTTAAAATGTGTCTAACTCTTTATTTTATAAAAAAAAATTTTTTAATCTTTAAGTATCAACATTTGTCTGATTTAAGTTGATAATTATCTAATCTTTATTCAGAAGGTGAAAGATACAATTTGAACTATGATGATGTATGTTCAACCAACTAAAAAATTGTTTATGCTGTTATTTTCAAGACATTATTCATTAATAATAAAAAAGAGTTAAGAAAGGACATAAAAATAGAAAAACAGTCATTTTTCCTTCAAAATAGTAATCTTTTCTGTACTATTAATCCTAGATAAATATCAGTAACATTTTTAATTTTCAATGTATTCCAAATATATTATATTTATTAAAATTGAAATAAGAAGAGATTAATCAAACTTCTCGTTGTGTATATCATTAAGGCCCCCCCCCCACCCTCAGAAATGATGATCCTCGAATAAAAAATCCATTCTGAAATAAGCACATGGAAAGATAGCCTAAAGTGTCTACTTTCAGAATCTACGTTGCGAGAAACGTTTTGCCCGGGGGGGTATAGCTCCAATGACAAATGATATCAATATTGAATTTTAT